TTTTGTCATAATTTCAGCAAGTTGCTTGCTGACCAGGCTTTGACTTGCTCTTGCTTCTATGCTTTGATTTCAACCTTCCTCTGTTTGAGTTACTGTCATGTGATCTCCCCATGTGATCTCCCTCTGGAATCAACAATTAGTGCTGAACTCGAACCTGAGGTCTCACCAAAATCTTTCCTGTGCACCTCTTTAGCAGGAATCAAGTCATGAATATCATCATATTTTAGCTTGGTTTTACCTGCAGAGTTACTAACTGTCATCCTCATGGCTACCCAGCTATTTGACAATGAAGCCAACAATATCAGCGCACGTATCTTATCGTCAAAATCAATTTCAACGGACGACAATTGATTTGTGATGGTGTTAAAATCGTTCAGATGTTGAACGACAGACACACCTTCAACCATCTTCAGGTTGAATAACTTTTTCATCAAGTGCACTTTGTTATTCGTCGATGAATTTTCATACATACCCGATAAGGCTGTCATAAGATCTGTCGTCGTCCTCTCCTTTATGACATTGTGAGCAACAGATCTTGATAGAGTTAATCGAATAACCCCCAAAACCTGTCGATCCAACAGATTCCACACAGAGGTAATCATTTATCTCCATCCTCCAGTACCAAAATCCGTATCGTCGAACTTCTCGATCCCCAAAACCTTCACTTCGTCTTCGGCCATCGTTCTTCCTCAGATCCGAACTGGGGCTCTGATATCAGTTGTTTTGAAAAACAACGAAAATAAAGCGAAAAATGGAATGAGAAAAAAAATGCACGCAGAAAAAACTCCAGAGTGACACACAGATTTACGTGGTTCAGCAAATTTGTCTACGTCCACAGAGATGCAGAGGATTTATTTCTTTGAGGAATTACACCGTCTCCAGAGTGACACACAGATTTACGTGGTTCAGCAAATTTGTCTACGTCCACAGAGATGTAGAGGATTTATTTCTTCGAGGAATTACACCGTCGAGCGCCTCGACGTTTACAAGAAAATCTCTATTTTCTTCTCTCCCTTCCTCTCTCTCCTTCTGCCTCTCTTTCTCTTAGCTCTCAAGATGACTTGGTTTGGTCTTGTTTGGTCTGGCTTTCCTTTAAACCAAAAGAAACTATTTATAGAAACCATGAGAGCGGTAGGTGAGAGGTAGGTGAGCGGTAGGTGGGATGAGGTAGGTGAGCGGTAGATGGTTGTGTTAGGTGAGTGGTAGGTGGGATACTTAATTAATAAGCTAATTAAATTCGGTGGACCGGTCTCCACATTACCCAACAAATTCTATCATTTACTCTTTTTGTGCACAATAAATGACAATTGCTGCACTAATCAATCTTCTAGAGAAAAGAATAGCAATGAACTCAACATGGGAGAAGGCAATACTCATCAAGAAAAGTGAGCAAAATGTTGAATCCATTTTAAAATACATAAAACATATTTTTGATTGTTATCTTATTATTTTATGATTTATTTTACAAAAATGTAAAATAAGGGAGCTAAACATACATTCCAAAGATGAACTCATGCAAAAAAAAAAAGGCAAGGGGACACACTAGCTGGCTGAGATCAAGTCGAGCTCAAGTCAAACCCATCAACCGACTATATAGAAACTTCCTATAACTATACTTCATGAATATTCATATAAGAAGCTCAAATATCGTGTCGATATCTACAACATTAATATCAACTAGCAATTCATTAACTCAGTTCTTTTACGCCAGAAAGAATTGATGTGTTTAACCATCCTTCAAGCTTCTCATTTAAGATGTCGTAGCTCTTTTAACTTGCTCCTACTTTGGAGGTTTAAGGAGTTTCTATTGACAATTTTTGTGACATATACGACTGGTTCTACCTAATGGTTTCTCTCTTGAGTTCCTTCCGAGACTATAACATAGGTGATTGCTTTGAAACTCAGATGATGTGGCTATTAATGATCTTGACCTTTTGGTAGTTTATTCCACATGTAAAATGATTACTTCAACTCTAATCTTCAATTTGTTGTGCTATGGCAAAAATCATCGGTCATTCTTTAAAATGGTTGTTTTCATAGAAACATATTCTGATTCAATTTGATGGTTATAAATAAGAATCTTAAATATATAACTAGGGGTGTAAACGAGCCGAACACGAGTGAGCCTAGGCTCAGCTCGTGTTTGGTTTGTTAAGAATTATTATTTTTCATGTTCGGCTCGTTTATATTACAAACACAAAAAGTGTGCTCGTGTTCGGCTTGTTTGCTTAGGGAGCCGAACATGGGTTGTTCATGACCAAGAAGACGTTTTGAAAATCCTAATAACATAGTCGTAGGATGTTAAATGTTGGTGTAAGATTTAAATCTTATTGTTTATATTAAAACATCATTTAAATATAATTTAATATATTTTTATTTTATTTTTTTAATTAATAATTTTCATTGATTATAGATCTTTGTAGCCTTGTAGCCAATTAATTTTCTTAAAAAATACTACTCATCATTAGATATATATATATATA